AAGAATTCTGCGATCACTATTGTTTCAGAAGTTATTGATGGATGAGTCTTCGAGAGACTTAGTGTTATTAAACAATGTTGGCTCACTGAGAAGTCTATGGTCCAAAGCTATTGTCGAACAAATAAGCTATGGCTTTGACGGACGAGTTCGTACGGCAAAATTGAGAACCTCAAACGAAGAAACTGCTCGGGACGTACGACGCTTATGTCTACTAGAAGGAGCCGGCTGTCTGACGGCGACGACGACCCTGGACAACGGACGTGGTGCGCGTTTCGGGGGGAGTGTAAAATGTGATTGATAGACGAACCCACCAATAATAAGGGAAACGCCCACCACCACATCAACTCCCTTTGACCTTGTACGACTGTATCTCTTTATTAACCAATCACAGTTTAATGTTCATTGTAAAACAATATTGGCTTGTTGACTCATTTTTCATATTCTCTAGCTACTGTTCGGTATGTTATTTGTCTCTGTTTTTCTCTGTATTAATAGACCGTACTGTTTGTTTGTACGCTAACGATGTTAATTTATGTTTTAGAAACAGATAAAGTTCATATAGCCAAATAGCTTACTTGTTCTGACTTTGGCTAAACCAAGACTCTGTACTCGACAGTCTAGAGATTGGCTTAGAGTTGAATCTGTGGGAAATTGTTTCTTACAGCATCTACAACATAATGTTCGTAACGATCAGAGAATGTTTGGTCTGTTATACTCATGGCAAAGTTCACACAAAGCGGCGATGATGTGGCACCAACTGGTTCCCTCGACATGATTCCCTCCAGTTACCATAGAAAACTTAATCCTCTTTATCAAAAATCGATATTTTCCTTAAATAGCTGACGCCAGGGTGAAAAATCGGCATTTACTTTTTATTTCTTTTTGTTCGCCTTCATTTTTTTGCTTTATTGGTTGATTGAACTCTTATGATCGTCGTCAGCTGAGCGGCATTCATAGAAATTGTTAGTGATCTGTCTACAAACTTGCGAGTGAAAAGTTATTTTGTTAAGCGCTCATGCAATTGAAGTTCGCAGATGATTCTTCGTAAATGGTCGACGATCCTTGTCTAAGAGCTGTATTAAACGTTGGAGAGTATAAGGATGTTTCACTAGGTCGTGGTCTAATGTATGTAACACAATCATTAGTTATGTGAACCATAAGAAAAATTCAAGAAACATTGCCATTTAATAGTTATAAAAAGATAGTATGAATCATATAAATACATTAAAAAAATAAGGCTCGGTAATAGGACTGCGAAATGTAAGGAGTGGGATCACAAAATCTTCTTGGGGGAGAATACTTGCAGTTTGTGGCACAGCCACCAGGTTCCAATCGGTTGTTTATTCACAAGTTTAGATGTTGAATGGTCCATAGTTAAATGTAGCGTGGTTTAGGTAAGCTCCATCAAGCATACGGGAAACTCCGGATCGGTCCATAAAGCAACTTAGGTAAGATTTAAATTGAGCTGGCGTTTGACCTGGCGGGATGTTTACTGGTAACCTATCCCAGAGGCTGATGTAGGATAGAGCAGAGGAGATTGACGTCCATTTACTTGACGTTCTCGATAGTTTTAGTACAAAACCTAGATTATGACTGTTATAATGGTTATTTATGCCGAATTCCAATGTCTCACAATTTACTGTAAGATAAGTTTGATTCTAATTCGTCTACTTCATAAGGGATGAAGTTTCCACGCTTCACATTGTATGATAGGTCTGACATGAGGAGTCCTGTAAAATGACGTTGTAATCTCTCGGTTTTTTTACTGCATAACACTTTCGAACAGTCTATGACTAAAGTTAACTTAAGTGTAACAAAGTGAAAACGCTGAGAATTTCTGCTCATTAGACAGTATTTTCATTCATTTTTTTCTTGCATTTTAATCTTTATTCAGAATTATTCTAAACATACTTTATGTACTTCAGTTTTCCTCGTCTAAGATTTTATTATGTCGTCTTTGGTTAAAAACTTACATTTTGCTACTTGATTTCTTTAATGCATGTTGCTGGACCACTGACAATAACGTCATTTTGGCTAGATTCAAGGTCACGGCGTGGTTCAATGTGTGTCTGTGTAGGAAGATATCCGGTTCCACGTTGTTGTAAATATTTTTATCGGTTCTCCGGCACTGAATCTTTGTTTGTTAAATATTACCGTTGTTGTTTAGCATGCCAAATTGTGCTAGAAAAATCCTTGACCGTATAGCACAGGCTTTGCCGTTTGAGGTATTTGTACCTTCGATGTAATCTATCCTCTTCATTAAATTAAAACAGTTTGAATTGAATACAGAGTTTGCGTTTTGATATAATTTAATACTTGTCATTCAAACACGCATAACACTCCATACAGAGGAACTTAGTTCGATCTAATTCAGTGAAAATTGGTTCATTAGTTCTGCGTTCAAACTGAATATTGGTATTTTGGTCATTACAATCATATTAAGTTGTTTGATAGCTAGTAGGTATGTTTGCATGATTGTACTGTGGCATAATGCAACCACGTTGGTCAGTTTAATAATCATATGGGGAAACTCATTTCGCAAATTAATAGTCCTTCCTATGAATGTGAGCGTACTATGTTGGACAAAAATTATTATTACAGCTTAGTGTGTAAAATTTACAGTAAACAACAGTTCCTTGAAGCCTGCGGCCGAATTTTCGCTAATGCCGGTAATTTTAATTCTATGGAACCTAAATTCTCTGGTCAGTTTCACTTTAGGAGATATAACATTTGAATCCAGAGCATTAGGCTGTACCAAATTAATTGAATAAAGAATATGAAAATTCCGGTCTCTAAGTGTGAGTTTAGAAACGTTCACTACCAAACAGTAAACAGTAATAATAACTTCCATACGGCAGAAATCTAGAAACAGTATACGTAAACTGAAAACCAAGTTTTCATTGATCCAAGATTTTACAAAATTAAGTTGCGTGATATTAAGGGTTGCGTTTTATAGATGAGAAGAAGAAAGCTTTAGGTAAAACGCAGCTGGTTAGCAAGTCATTGGGAGAGACGTACCAGAAACAAAAACTCCGCTGCGTGTCAAGGCAGATCTCTCTGAGAGGTCAGTCATTTTTCGTAAGTTAAGAGAATCTTCCGATAAGGAACCAGTGGATAGATTTGAACACGATCTCGGTTATATTAAGTCCTTAACAAGCAAACTACTCCCAGATACAGTTTCAGGAGTCAGTATTTGTAAGCTTTGTATTATAGGACAAAAGGTGGACTCTGAAAGTCCTCAGAAAAACCGCCTCTTGAAGGTTACATTTGCCACGATTGAAGAAAGGCACCTGATTCTAGGTAACTCACGTAAACTGATTAGATCCGAAATACAGGTCCGTGAGAATCTTAGCCTAGCCGATCGTATTAACAGATGAACTGCAGAAGTGGAAATAAATGAGCGTCCCCGTAATGGAGCAAATCGATCCCCCAACTACTCTGGATGGTAGGGTAAAGTTATCTACAGACTTAAAGGTATGCTACACAAATACTCGCAGCCTACTAGATAAAATGGTGAAGCTCAAGTCAGTCGTGGATAAAGAAAAACTGGACGTTATCCCTGTCTCGAAAACTTGTTATCATCAGGAGCACTATATGATGAAGTTCAGATGACTGGTTTTTATTCAGTAGGGCTGAAAGATTAGACTGTAGGGGAGGCGGGATTATCCTGTACACGAAAAGTACCTTAACTATACAACCAGTTGAGACAGTGGCACATGTTTCAGGGACATGTGAACTGGTGTGATGCAAGCTGAAATGTAGACGGCAAGATATTGAATTAGTTGTAGAATATCGCAGTCCAGAATGTGTAACATGGTTTTCTCTTAAGTAAACTTAAGTCCTGGTGTGACAAGGGTAAAAGCCTTGTAGTAGGCAACCTTAATGCACCGTATATAAACTGGGTTAACTTAGAAGTAGGGTCATCGATAACGCCGTCCGATTGCAAGCTGTCAGAAACCTCGATTGGATTAGCTTTATTCCAACACATTAGAAATCCTACACGATATGACTTAAGAAACTCTTCTTCTCTTTTAGAGATGCATGTGCTCTTCATTCAGACTTAAATAGTGTGGTTAACTGGTCTAAAGAGTGGCTGATGCCCATCAACGCGGCAAAGTGTGTCTACATGCACTTTGGGGATTCAAAAAGTACTAGGTACAACGGGGGAAGAGCCATTACCCGTGGTCCCGTTTCATAAGGATCCTGTGGTAACAGTGAGTCATGATCTTAAGACGACGGCCCACTGCCGGGAGTTCGCAGCCAAGGGGTTTCGAACCCTCTGGACTTTAAAACGGATGTTCACTAAGTTAGATACTACCATGTTCACCATAGTATACAGATCCTTAGTGATAACTAAGCTTGATAAATGCGTTCTGGCTGCAAGCCCCTGTTTGAAAGATGACTCAGATGTCCTAGAAAAAGTACAGAGGGCAGCTGCACGTGAAATTTCAGAACTCCGGGGTTTACCATACAAGGAGTGGCTTGAAAAGCTGGACCTCTTTAATCTGTCCTATCGCAGATTAAGGAGAGATCTAATTTTGATGTACAGAATACTGAGAAATGATTTTGGACCTAACTTATCCTCTCTTTTTCGTTACACTAGCAGGCGAGTAGAAAAGCCAAGGACGAACAAACTACCCGTGGCATACAGGTTTTCACATCGAGCCATCAATACTTGGAACCTGCTGCCCGAAGAAGTAATGTCCGCACCTTCAATCGACTCTTTCAAGAGAAGACTGGACACTCACAGAAGCATACTAGAAAAGGAATAACATAGGCCGTAGGTCTTCTGTCCTTACTACACAAATCTGAATCTGTTCAGACTGTTCAGAATAAACAAGGTTCGTTGTTTCAAGGTCTACTTAAAACAGAATCACTATCTCCAAACTTAAGGCGGATGGGGATTTTTCCCTCTTAGATGTGAACTCCGAAAACACTTTTGAGAGAGACATTGAATTGTTATGATGAGTCTCTTTGTCTATATCTGTTCAAGGCCAAGTGACTTTTTAACACTTTGGCACGAACTCGTGTTTTTGAGTTAGTTTTGTGCGGTGTTAAACCAAGGTTTTGTGTCGTAACAGATTATTCGAGAACGGGCTGTGATTAGTGTTTGTAGGCTTAACCTATTATTATTACGTAGATAATGTTACAGTTACATACGTAAGGTGGATGTCTCACATAATTTATACAAATCACTTTATATGTTTCATGCTATCTGAGATTGTATCATTCAGGATATTTTACCTTGTTGTAATAGGTAGTCCAACGATTAGCAGCTTGGCTCGCAAAGCTTCGACTTTCTATGATGGCCTGATCGATAAATGACTAAATACCATCTAGTAACACCATTGCTACTAGTTTAGCTAGGAACGAGATAACTAGTTGCAGTTATCGATTTTCAGGCATGTCAAACATACCCTAATGAGTTAAAGACAATGCTCAGCGTAAGATTGTTCAGTCACTCAAATATTTTTGCTGTGCCTAGATGCATCTTGCTTGTTTAATATGATTACTTTGCCCGTTGGTATTACTAAGTACACTTCACACTTATGACGTAGGCTATGTAGAATAGCGCGAAAGAATGATGTTTCAGCGAATGGAATTTTTTAGACATGTATAGTTTTTATTGTCCTCACTAAAATATCTTAATCTTTTTTAATGATTTAGTGGCTTTTCTCAAGTATCTTATTCAATATCTTACGAATATGTAGGTTGCCTATCCCTTAGTTATCATTCATGTTGTTTCGCTGAGCCTAGCTTATAAAACATCAAGACTTCCGTTTTCTTATCTACCATCCTGCTTGGCAGATGTATTTTTATGAGTGTTTTATTCCAGAGAGTTGACAAGATGTTATGAGTCTTCTGTAGTCCTGAACGAGTTGATACAATTTCAAGGAGGAATATCAGGTTGTTTGTGTATTATCTGTCTGACAGGATTCACTGAGTATCTTCAGATGTTTCGTATTCGCTTGTGACAAACATATAAAAATATATGGTCCCACTTTTGATTCTAACCTTGGGATCGTTTGTGCAACTACTTTTTGCCAGTGTAAACAAGCTTCAATGTTTATTTAGGTTTAGTATCAGTTTTTATATTTTCCAGTCGTAAAATCAGGCTAACGTGTCTGCGGCGATATGACTCAATCTTATGTTGTGATGACCCCATTCACTTTGGGGAACATGAAAATTATTCGCTTCGAACGTACACACAACTTGGATGAAAGTATGGTTCATCACATCGCTGGTGGACAACATTCTGGTATTATAATAAATAAAGAATGCAAGTTAAAAATGGAACCTATGGATGTACCAGAAATGCAGTTGCAATTTACGTGCATTATGTTCAACAATAGAACTTCTGAAACTCATGCGGTAAGTATTCCAGGTTATGATTTCTAACTTATTGTTACTGTCTTAGTCATTAAGATTTAGAGAAATAACTAGTATGTTGTCACATACATGACATGCGATTCACAAGCTTTTTCGCGGACATGTACGCTATTTCGTTTAGTGGCTTCAACCTTCCATCGTTTATATGTATCATTACCAAGGTTTGACTTGATAATTGTTATAAATAATAATATATTTGTAATATTCATCGTTAATGTCGAGAATTTCCTAGTCTAAATATTGAGATCATATTGAGTGTTTACTTGCTAGATTTTGGCCCAAAAACCGCTCTCATAACTAATATAGGTTCCGGCTTCACCTGTTTCCGTAAGTTTGTAGAATCTCAGTTCCCTAACTATATACCTTTTTACGGCATAATTTAACATCATCAGATAGCTACTAAAGAGTAGTGAAAATAATTGGTTCAACACTATATTTAGTATCATCGTGATTGTAGTTCCTCAGTAGTCAACTTCCTTTTCGGATATTTATCGTCACATAAATGTAGCTTGGTCTGTGACTAGATTATTAACTGTACACGAAATATGAATCCTGGTCCAAGAAATGAAATTTGTTACTAAATTGTGTGTACTGACTTTTTATTTACTTAGTCATAAGGCCGTATTCTCATTTTAAAACTGTATGGTTGTATTTTGTCTATTCTAAAAACGTCAATCACTCAGTCTCTAGTTGCATTGTAGCATTTCTGTATCAAGTTAAATACAACCATTATTAAAAGGGCGTTCATGCCGATTGTATAACTTCAAGTATTATACAACTAACGAAACATGTTTAAGAATGGATAGAGATATCAAAGGACTATTAAGATTAGACATTCAACACTTCGTAATGTGACTAAATAATTCATAGATGGTTTTGTATTTATGGAGTCGACATACATTCCAATTTAAAATGACGGAATAAGCGATGGCTAAGCATCCGTGTATTAGTTGCATTCCTATCTCTTTAGATGTAAGTTTTTTCACTGAACGCTTACATAAATGAGTTCACGTAAATGGAGCCTTCATTTTGCACTTAGAGCATTATTTGTTTACATTATTAGTTTCTTGTTCATTACGATCGAAAACGGGAAGTAATTGTTTTTTATCAACTAGCTATGTTTTAGCGAACTCATTCACTGATTAAAACATGTTATTTTTACAAATCCAAAGGGTACATATTTTTGTGCATTATCTAAATCACCCAGTCAATTATGAATAACTTAAGAACGAACTAACGTTTATTGGCTGAGGTTGTCACACTTTAAACCACTATGGCTAAACAAAAAGATGAAAACAATATCAGTGACAAGTAGATGCGTATGCTATTAATTTCAAGTCTTTTTTACTGATTTCATTTCTATTTTCCTTTATTCGTAACTGAATACTAATAGACCAGTCATGAATCACTGTTGTCTTAATTTTATTCAGATTATCATTAAGCGTAAAATGCCATTTTTTGAGTGATATATATATATATATATATATATATATATACAATCTGCTGACTGCTTTTAGGAAAACCGTTGTTTAAAATTCTGGTTCAGCAAAAGTGCTCAACAATTTGATCGTTTGGATGAGTCATACGACTTTTTTAGGGAACTTATTGATCCTGATGCATTTCCAAGGGGTGAGTTAAAATAATTTTTGCTATTTGTACAAAATGAAAAGATCAGATGTCTATTTGTTCATTTATTTGAATGCATAAATATCGGTGCATATGGACAACAAAATAAATATTCACACAAATAAGTGAATGAAATTGGGGAGAGAAAAATGAAAGTGTGGATATAATCAAGAAGTGATTGAGTAAAAATAAATGAACAAAAGTAGTTAATAATGATGGAAATACTTCAATTAAAAAATACAACCAGTATGAGTCCTTTTGATGAAGAAAGTAAATGAAAATAACAGCAGGACTGGATTCTTTTCTAAGCTATATCTAATAACTTCTCAGGCTATTGAGTTGGACTATCTCTCAGACGCCAGCTATTAAGTCATGATTGAGTGACACATGCCAGTCTTACAGTTTCCTTTCAGGACTCAGTAAAGTGTCTTAAACTGACAACCTCCGCTTTTTCAAACCAGTCTCAGATTCGGCAAATAAAAGATTATGTGGGAGCCTCTGTTATAAAGTTCTTAGCATTTGTCTAATCCACTGTGGCTATTATTTGAAGGCGATGACATCAAGTGAACTATCACCACTCCACCCAATCATGCATCGCCAAACCTCTGCTTTACCAACTCGGTTTTGTTACTGAATGTCAGCAGTTTTTTGTAGACAACGATGACAGTGCAGAGAGTAGCTTAATATCCTCGAGTCGAAGAGGCCAGGTTTTCTAAGAATGAGTCAGAACTGTTTTGACCGTCGTGTTGTATACCAGACCTTTTACAGATAATACCAGAATACAGTCCTGTCCAACGAGTCGGAATCGACTCTGATGTTGAGAAACACGACTATTGGGCTACAATATGTATAGAGGTGCTCTAATATTTAGTAAAGAATTAAGATATTATCAAAACATTCACAAGCGGAACGAAAGCCAGCCTGGTCCTTGCGAGCCAGTCTTTTATGGGTTTAAACAATCTTCAAAGTATGACGGAAGCCGATAGTTTGGACTCAGTTGGAAATACATTTATTCACTTGTAGATGACTTAAACTTTTTTTAAAGATATGGGTGACTGTCTCTTCGTTCTAGGATGTTAGAAAAGTCTCATTCTCAAACTTTTTAAACAACCTAGTCAGTTTCCCACTTCATTAGGCGAGTCAGTCGTCACAGACCATGAAGGTCAAGACAGTCGGGTTAGTGTCGCCTGGGCTAAAGTCCATCAGCACTGTTCCTCAAAGAACTCTGTCCATCGTCCAAGATATCGTCGGATATCATGGGTTGATGTCTCGTTATCTTCACAGATTGTTCCACTTACAGCAAGCTTCCTGATGCTAGTTGTTTGGTTGAGTCGAAAGAGGTTTTGGTAGCTATTACTTTCAACTCGTTAGAACGCCCCGGCCACCAGGCTTTATTCCTTTATATATAAAGCTTCCTAAAATGAAACAGAAATTAGTTTGTCGTACTGAATAAAGTGAAAATGTTTTGTATGAGTTAAAGAAAGTAAATCACATATCACCAGTCATAATAAAGATAAAACTATTGAGGTGAGTAGTCTGAATACGAATAAAACCTAAGTGCATCTCTTCTTTATGAAGAAAACAGGTAAATTACAGAAGTATTGACTTTGATTTCGGTTTTGAGTCTTATCTTTAAGCGTCTAAAAGCTTTGAGTTACATGGTTCTTTTTGCCTTAAATTTCTGAACTGAGTTGCGTTATAGAAGCAGATTATATGAATCGAGTCTGCATGATAACACCGATCAGTGCTTGGAGACGGGTGACATGGCTTCGGATCGGTTATAGTACCATAGCTACGTTCACTGCATTCTACGAGTCAAGGTCAACAAAAGAAATCTACTAAGACAAAGCGTGAGCAAAGTTTCAGCACCTAAGTCTGTAAATCGAATACTGCTATCTTCTGTTTCCTAGTACTCTGCGAGGTGTCAGTATTGCTCTCATCGTTTATGGAATAATTTTGTTAACGACCGTCACGTATTTTCCACTTAGGGAAGGTAGATTTTATGATCGGAATGTGGGAACGTTGGTACAAAGCTTTGTACATTCGATCATCTTCATCCATGTTAAAGTATCATCGTCACAAATAGTCACCCAAAATAATATAAGTTCCGGGTTTTTTATTTATAGATATATTTAATCGAACATATTATCGCCTAATTTCACACAGGCTCCTAAATACCCAAATTCGAGTGTTCATTGCAACCTTCCTCCAAAAAGTAGCATAGAAATAAGATGCAATCAGTTTTGTTGCTGTGTTTAACGTTTTTATGGTGATGATCCTTCAAGTTGCTTTCTTCGTCAGGTTGGTTGCTATTCATCGTCCGTGCAACTTGGTCGGTAAAGCTTGAGTGAGATTTTTTAAACTACTTCACTTAATCTAGTCTCTTGTTTTTGCTTTTATGTGAAATTCCATCATTATTTCAGAACAGTAATTAGAGCCTTCATAACAGAATTTAAAATATTCGAACAGTCAGACGGTTCTTTAGCACCATATGGAAAGTGTGATCTACAGTTTTACTTCTCATTGTTTGAGACGTGAAGATATTTCTCAGGCGATATAACCTATCTAGTGTATTCCCAAGTAATGCTTTTCTGAACAATTTTGGTGTGTCGTTAGTTTCAACTGAGTATATAGCAAGTAAAATATGTAATGATGGGTCGACTTCAAAGTCATAGGATTGACTAAGAGATAATTCCATTAGTTCAATACCGCAGTAAAGGCTGGAAATGAAACACGTTTTGACAAAATCGGAGAAAACTTTTACTATCCGTATAACCTCATGTGATAAACAAGAAAGTTGCAAATGTGTATTCACAATTCTAGTAATATGCTACTTCAGTTGTACTGCTTGTTTCTAGCGTTTGTTTTTGCAAATCACTCAAGTTTTTCTATCTTCACTTTTCTTAATAGTTTGTTGACTTTCATCATTGTTCTTGACATCTTGTTGTCACTTGTTTTTCAGACTATGTTGGTTTTCTTAAAAAGGTTCTAAAGCTGATGCATGGAAATCGTTATCTACGTCTTCGTCGTGTAGATTTGGACATTATACCTTTAGACAAACTGGAACAAGAGTCCTTAGTCCCTGGTAAGTAATTGTTTATTATATTGAGATTGTTCGTGTATACTAATTTGCCTGTTAAAATTAACTAATATCAAGTCTCATTGAATAATGCCTTCTTGGATCTTTGAATGAGAACCAGCTTTATCAAGTTTACTTGTGCACTTTGTTGACTGTTGAGTGATAGTAAACTATTAAGACGTAGAATCATATATAGGTGTGTTATTTTTTATGTTTGCCATAATCTTCTCTTGCATAATATTTCAGTCGCTTTAGAGTTGTCACTTAAATATTTTGTAAACAAATGTTCACTATATTAATTTTAAAATCTTTAATATTTGATGGGTTTTGTGGATATTATAGTAATTTCAATGGTTAAGATCATGAGTCAGTTGAAGCTAGACCACCATGGAAAACATGGAAGCACTGGACGGCCGTTTCGTCCCACTGTGGGACTCCTCAGCAGTGCTGAGGAGTCTTTAATATTTGTTAATATCGTTTAGTATAGTAAGTTCCTTTCTTATTACTGTGGTGTCCGTTTCGTAACTTATACTAGAAATACCGAGAAAATGACAATAGTTCACAGTTTGTAGCGATTCACCTTTATTTTAAAGTCTAAAAAAATTGAGTGGCTTACATATTGATAACGGGTGATCCTTTAGAAAATAAAGTATGTAAACGTATATTACATTTAGTTAAATTGCAATTTATCATCTAGCTGTTTAACTATGATCTATATAAATCAAACCAAAGTAATTTGATCATAATATATTCTTGGATATCTACTGATAATATGTGATCATTAAAAATGTATATTTTGCTGATTTATTCATGGACTTATTGTTTGGCCTATTAGGTCTATGTATACTTATGTTAATTGGAAACTTGTGAGTCATGTTGTTGAACTACCAGCATTCTTAATGAAGACAATCATCAGACCTATTGTTTATGAAAGTTTTACTTGCCAATTTGTAGTTGTCTAAACTATGCTCAACTTGTAATTTTGTATGGAAGTGAGGGCTTCACTTTATCGATTAACCAACTGGTGTATATCAAAAACAGGATTTGAGTTGTCAACGTAAAAACCGTTATTTAGTTTATATTACTTTTTAAAAAAAGTTATTGTTTACACATTGACTGTAATTTGATCTTGTTTACTCATGTATTTGTTTAATTGTATATGAGTAATTTGGTTTTAGGAAAAATACCAGGCTATGAAATATGTACATAGTATACACAGTTATCCATCTTTTCATTTACATGAACCTTAGTAAGACCATACTTTGCATATTTTTACAATACCTTTGCGTGTAAATAGTGTGGATTCGAAACCAGGTTTAGTTCTCGTCAATACTATGAACTGTATTTGTATACATGAGTGTATGTATTTAATTATGTTATGAGACTAAATTGACCAGAGTAGGCGAAACTGGACACTAACCCGTAGTTAAACATTGAAAAGACAAGAGTAGTAGTTACTAAGCTACAATTCTGTAGACAATAGTTTAGCTCAGTACATCACCAGGAATCCTTAGTTTTGAAGTTTACTTAAAATACTCATATATACAATTAATCGAAAGACTGTAAATTGATGGTTTATTGCCGTAAGTAGGAAGTGTTCGACCTAGGTTTCGTGCAAACTGGGGCTTGTGGATAATAGGTATCTGGAATCGTAAAGTAACTAATTCCCCCGTAACTTTCAAGCTCACGTCTCTGAATCTCATAGTCGATGTCACGGCTGAACCATCTGTACTGAGACTGATCTGTAAAATTGAGTTATTCACACTAATTGATTACCGAGGAGCTCATCAGTTTTCTTAAGAGTGCAGATACATCTTGCTGATATGTATTAACTAACATGAAGCCTAAGTTCAGGGCATCCTGGAGATTTTCGCCAACCATCAACTCACATGAAACTACAGTCCGAACGATTTGTATTCAGATTACAACTTGATCTATATAGTTCAGTGAACATTAAGGACTAGACAAGTATGGCGTCGTTCACTGCTTAGTGTTCAATCAATGTAAGTCAGTCAGTAACAACGTGTAAACATGAAGGCGTTTTTAAAATTATGGATAATTGAAACTTATTAAACACTGCAACGAATCACATTATAGGTTTATGTTGTATCATACCGTTAATTGAGGTTGTACATAAAGTCAGGACAATAGTTCGCCAAAAGTCTTAAAGAGTATGAGTGCATAACAAATACTTCATGCTTCCCGGTGTTTAAACAGTTCTTTTTCGAAGTCACCTTGTGATAAAAATTACTTCGAAATTTCCTAAAAATTAATAGTGAATTAGTTGCCTGGAGACTGACACAGAGGTTTGTCAATTTCAAGTAGTTTTTATGGTTATAACTAAATCTGTCCCACGTCATCAATTTTTTCTCCATACTAAACTTTGAATAAGATATAGGTATATCATAAACTAGTTGGAAAATTGATATATTTCTTTCTCATTGATTTCTCGCATGTTGTACTTATCAAAAAGTTACCGGCTAAATGTTAATCATAATAGTCTTTAATCGCTATTAATTCATTCACACCTATCTAAACATTTGACTTATACCTCCGTTTATATTTCAATGTATGAATTAGATGGTGCATGGACTTTCTTTTATATAACTATATATATTAATGTGTAATATGATAGCCCTATTAATTTACCTTTCCACTGTTGGTAAATTTCAGTTTGATTGGAATTGTCTGAAAAAAATTTCGGTTCGGTATTGACGTAAAAAGTAGTGAGGTGAAGCAGTTTTCAGTTGTATAGAAATGCATCCCATGCATAGTTTTAGACAGATGTCCATTCACTGTCTTCCTTGGCTTATAGTATGATGAGAATATACCTACAGAATTCTCTAGCGATAATATAAAAGATGAGACCACTTAAAGTAAGTGGTCGCTTGTTTTAACTATTTGGCAAGTTTATTGACCATCATCGAGGTAACGAACATGAATATTTGAAGACATTAGGTGTTGTTATAACTGAATATCGATCCCGTTGATGGATATGAATCCATCTGTATTGCATTCTCAGTAATGTACATCCTGTTAGCTTTCTACCTGGTTCATGTCTTATTTAGGATCTTATTTCCAGATTTGTTTACTTGACGTAATAAACTGTTATAAGTTTAAATATAGTCCAATAGAATATACACATATTATACCACTTTTACCCTACAGTTAGATTTCCTTAGACTTTTATTTCAACACAATCTGTATTAATAAAACTACATTTAGAAATGAAATTTTTAAAAAGGGCTTGATAGGAATATGTCTAAGACAACGTTAAAAATACTTGACAAAGCGATGGTGATATGTATCAACAAATCTTAGGTATAATCGGTGTCTTTGTTTACTCTATACGTATACCACTTCTCTCATATTCCAAGTATAATTAATTAGTATTTTTCGACCTTACGCTTGATACTCATTAATTGATGATATACTACAATCCTTTACTGGTCTACTTTGTACTGTCTTTTAGTTAATGAGCTCAAAATTATGATTTGTTACGATTTCATCATACATTTAATCCTTAAAGTAACATATTAGTTGTTTGAAGTACCAATATCTTGTGATTCAGTGTTTTGAATTATGTCGAAATAAATGTGGCCTGTTTACTCCTTTTTTCAGTTCCATATTGAACAATTTCTTTCTAGATTATATGATTTGTACTAAATTATAGATACTTTTCAAATGTTTGGTGCTGTGTATATGCTTTATTTAATTTGTTACTATACTGAAATTTAGACACTTTTAAAGGTAAGTTAGTTAATATTTTAAAACTCTCTGATATGATTGTTTAATTCTTGGTTGTGTACCGCATTATTAAAATGCATAGTGATATATGTCTTCTTGCGTTTCGTAGCTTCTTGATTTTCTTCCTTCTGTTTTATTTTCCATCTCAAGAGTTTGGGTATGACCGATAACGTTTGTTTGTTTAAGAGTTGAAGAAATACCTAGCATTTACTGTGCATTTTGAAATGTATGATTTTATAATATGGTTGACTATTATTTTTCGGTTCTCTGAAATAATATGATTAAACTGGTGGCTCGAAAACATCAAGTGTAAAATTCGGAACCTACATCATCTACTATGCTTTCCACAGCCGAGTAACATCACGGCTACCCTAAGACCTACACACTTCAAATTGTATTTAATTACTGTTTTGGACTAATGAATGTCATTTATCAACTATCTAATCAAAGAATATTATATCATTAACAAAGTGTAAAAATAATATTTTATGGGACTAACTCCAATTAAATCGTTAACTTGTTCATAATTAATTTAAAGTTCATTGCTTATGCGGTATAGCATACTTGTCTTTATCGCTGATTTGAATATTAATCAACTAACCAATAGATTGTAACTCTTAATATAGATAATTAATCAAGTGTTTTGTGATAGTGATTGTGGACAGAATATATCTCTTTACTCTTTATGAACGAGTGAGAAACTGAACATATTTTGTTATATTTTTTGTTGCTCTTATCAAGTACATATATATTTTGGTAGTTTCAAGTCCTACATAATAATACATTTAACGTTTTCAAAAATGATCCGTTTTTCGTACATGAAGTTTATTACCATAAGTTATCTGTTCTACTGATTGCATAAGTAGCCGGATATTTGTATTGAAGTTCAGTACATTTTACGATCTTATGCACTCCAATATTATTAATCTGTTTTAAAAATATTAGCCGTTCTATTTACGCTTTGTGGTTCAAATATTCTCTGGAAAATGAATAGATTTCACCTCCAAAGTAATTAGTTGTAAATTCTTATGACTAGTGACGCATGTGCTAGGTAATCCTTCTTATTTTTAACATATTTTTTAACTGATTTTGCATGTTAGATTTTTTTAAAAATTTACGAGCTCCAGACCTAAGTACAATATATCTAGTCTAACACAATGTGTTTCATACGGACTATTTTGGTATACTATATATATCCAAACTATGGAATTTTTTAATTGAGTAAACTTATTCACATATTGTGTTATTTTCTCTCTAAA